GAAAATTATAAAAGTTGCAAGAGAAAAGCAACCAGTTATATACAAAGGAAACCCCATAAGGCTATCAGCTAACATCTCAGCAGAAACTTTACAGGCTGGAAAGGAGTGGCATGTTATATTCAAAGCACTAAAAGGAAAAAACCTACAGCCAAGAATACCCTACTCTACTGGCAAGCTTATCATTCAGAAGGGCAGGAGAGACAAGGAGTTTTCATGACAACCAAAATCTAAAGGAGTTTATCACCACTAAACTCACCTGGCAAGAAATGCTAAAGGGATATTTTTAAGTGGAAAATAAAAGACCACAAATAGGAATAAGAAAATTATCAAAGAAAAAATAACACTGATAAAAGCAAATATATAGTAAAGGTAGTGGATCAACCACTTATAAAGGAGTATGAGGGTCAAAAGACAAAACTACTAAAAAAATCTATTTCCATGATAGGAGGTTAAGGGATAAACATACAAAAGAATATTATATTATATCAAACACAAAATGTGGGGAGAGTAAAAGAGTAGGGCTTTTAGTAACATGTGAAATGTAAGAGACCATCAAATTCGGATAGATTACATAGATTATTATATATGAACCCCACAGAAATCACAAACCAAAAACCTATAATAAACACACAAAAACTAAAGAGAAAGGAACCCAAATATAGTACTAAAGAAAGCCATCAAATCACAAGGGAAGAGAGCAAGAGTAGAAGAAAGAAACTGAGAAGAACTACACAAATGTACAGAAAAAAGTAACAAAATGGCAATAAGTACAGACTTATTAATAGCTACTTTAAATGACAATGGACTAAATGCTCCAATTAAAAGACATAGGGTGGCTGAATGGATAAAACAACAAGACCCACTTGTATATGCTGCATACAAGAGACACACTTCACACCTAAAGAGACTCACAAACTGAAAGTGAAGGGATAGAAAAAGATACTCTATGCAAAGAGAAATGAAAACTGGGGTAGCAATACATATATCAGACATAATACACCTTGAAACAAAAACTGTAACAAGAGACAAAGAGGGCATTACATAATCATAAAGGGAACAACCCAACAAGAGGACATGACACTTGTAAATATCTATGCTCCCAATATAGGAGCACCTAAATATATAAAGCATTTATTAACAGACATAAAAGGAGAAATTGACAGTAACACAATAATAGTAGGGGACTTTAACACTCCACTTACACCAATGGATAGATCATCCAAACAGAAGATCAATAAGGAAACATTGGCTTTAAATGACACACTAGACCAGATGGACTTAATAGATAAATACAGAACATTCCATCCAAAAACTGCAGAATACACATTCCTTTTGAATGCACATGGAACATTCTCCAGGATAGATCACATATTAGGCCACAAAACAAGTCTCCATAAATTTAAGAAGATTGAAATAATACCAAGCATCTTTTCTGACCACAATGGTATGAAACTAGAAATCAACTACAAGAAGAAAACTAGAAAAGCTCCATATGTAGAGAGTAAACATAAAGCTACTGAACAACTGTTGGGTCAATGAAGCAATCAAAAGAGAAAGAAACAAAAAAAAATGCCTGGAGACAAATGACAATGAAAATATGACAGAAAAAAATTTATGGGATATAGCAAAAGTGGTACTAGGAGGGAAGCTTATAGTATTATAGGCCTACCATAAGAAACAAGAAAAATCTCAAGTAAATAATCTAAAAATACACAAAAAGCAACTAGAAAAAGAAGAACAAGCAAAGCACCAAATCAGTAGAAGGTAGGAAATAATAAAAATCTGAGCAGAAATAAATGAACTAGAGACTAAAAATAATAGAAAAATCAATGAAACTAACAGCTGGTAATTTGAAAAAATAGAGAAAATTGACAAACTTTTAGCTAGACTCACCAAGAAAAAAGACAGAAGGCTCAAACAAATAAAACCAGACATAATACACCTTAAAACAATCAAAAGAGGAGAAATTACAACAGACACCACAAGATTATAAGAGAATACTACAAAAAGCTACATTCCAACAAGCTGGATAATCTAGAAGAAATGGACAAATTCTTAGAATCATACAACCTTCCAAAACTGAATCAAGAGACAAACATTCAAAGAAAACTTAATACCGATCCTTCTCAAACTCTTCCAAAAAATTTAAGAGGACAGGATGCTTCTTAACTCAGTCTCTGAGGCCAATTACCCTGATACTGACACCAGACAAGGACAGTGCAAAAAATAGAAAATTACAGGCCAATATCACTAATGACATAGATGCAAAAATCCTCAAAAAAAATACTAGCAAATTGAATACAGCAGTACATTAAAAGGATCACATACCATGATCAAATGGGATTTATTCCAGGGATGCAAGGATGCTTCAACATCCTCAAATCAATCAGTGTGACACATCACATTAACAAAATGAAGAATAAAAATCACATGATCATCTCAATAGATGCAGAGAAAGCATTTGAGAATTTGCAGTATGCATTTATGACAAAACTCTGGATAAAATGTGTATAGAAAGAAAGTGCCTCAAATTGCCTTAAAGGCCATGTATAACAAACCCACAGTTAACATCACACTCAACGGTGAAAAAATGAAAGCTATCCCTCTAAAAACAGAAAGACAGCAGGGATGCCCACTTTTGCCACTCTACTTAACATACTACTGGAATTCCTAGCCAGAGCAATCAAGCAAGAAAATGAAATAAAAGGGATACAAATTGGAAAACAAGTAGCACTGTCGTTATTTGCAGATGATTTTATATATAGAAAACCCTAAAGAATCCATCAAAAAACTATTAAAATAATAAGAAAAATACAGTAAAGTTGAGGGGTTCAAACTCAACATACAAACTTCAGTTGCGTTTCTATACATGAACAATGAAACAGCCAAAAGAGAAATAAAGAATACAATCCCTGGGCCAGCCTGGTGGCATAGTGATTCAGTTTGCGCACTCCACTTCAGTGGCCCAAAGTTTGCTAGTTTGAATCCTGGGTGCAGACCCACACATCACTCATCAAGCCATGCTGTGGAGGCATCTGACATACAAAATAGAGTAAGACTGGCACAGATGTTAGCTCAGGGCTAATCTTCCTCAAGCAAAAAGAGGAAGATTGGCAATGGATGTTAGCTGAAGGCCAGTCTTCCTCACCAAAAATAATAATACAATCCCATTTGCAATCACAACCAAAAGAATAAAATACCTAGGAATAAACTTAACCAAAGAAGTGAAAGATCTGTGCATCAAAAACTATAAAACATTGCTGAATGAAATAAATGAAGAAACAAAGGAATGGAAATGTATTCTGTGCTCATGGATTGGAAGAATTAACATAATTAAAATGTTCCTACTTCCTAAAGCAACATACAGATTCAATGCAATCCCTATCCAAGTCCCAATGAGATTTTTCACAGATATAAAACAAAGAATCCCAAGATTTACATGGAAGAACAAAAACCCCAAATAGCCAAAGCAGTACTGAGAAAAAAGAACAAAGCTGGAGGTATCACACTCTCTGATTTCAAAACATACTGCAGAGCTGTAGTAATCAAAACAGCATGATACCGGCACAAAAACAGACACACAGATCAAAAGCCCAGAAACAAACACTCATATATAAGGAGAACTAATTTTTGACAAAAGAGGCAAGAACATACAGTGGAGAAAGGAAAGTCTCTTCAGCAAATGGTATTGGGAAAACTGGACAGCCACATGCAAAAGAATGAAATAGACCGGTATCTTACACCATACATACAAATTAACTCGAAGTGGATTAAACACTTGAATATAAGACCTGAAACCATAAAACTTCTAGAAGAAAACAGGCACTACGCTCTTTGACATCTGTCCTAGCAGTATATTTTTGAGTAGCATGTCTCACTAGGCAAGGGAACCAAAGAAAAAGTAAACAAATGGGACCATGTTAAACTAAAAAGCCTCTGCACCTCAAAGGAATCCATAAAAAAAAAAATGAAAGGACAACTTAACTATTGGAAGAAGAAATACTTTTATTTGCAAATCATATATTTGACAAGAGGTTAATACCAAAATGTATAAAGAGCTCATGCAACTCAACACCAAAAAAGAAACAATCCAATTAAAAAATGGGCAAAGGATCTGAATGGATAATTTTCCAAAGAAGATATACAGATGACCAACAGGCACATGAAAAGATATTCAACGTCACTAATTATTAGGGAAATGCAGATCAAAACTACAATGTGATATCACCTTACACCTGTGAGAACAGCTATAATTAACAAGACAAGAAATAACAAGTGTTGGAGAGGATGTAGAGAAAAAGGGACCCTCATACACTGCTGGTAGCAATGTACACTGGTACACACACTATGAAAAACACTATGGAGATTCCTCAGAAAATTAAGAATAGAACTACCATATAATCTAGCTATTCCACTTCTGAATATTTATCCAAAGAATATGGAAACATCAATTCAGAAAGATATTTGCACCCCTGTGTGTATTGAGCATTATTCACTATGGCCAAGACTTGTTAACAATCTAAGTGCCCATAAATGGATGAAAGTATAAAGAAGATGTGGTAAATATACACAATGGAATACTACCCTGTCATAAGAAAAAGATGAAGTATTTCCATTTGTGAGAACATGGATAGACCTTGAGGTTATTATGCTAAGCAAAATAAGTCAGATGGAGAAAGTCAAATAGTGTATGATTTCACTCATAAGTGAAAGACAAAAAAAAAATATCAACAGCAACAAACAAACATAGCTTTCTAAATTAGATTAGTGGTAAGCAGAGGGGAAGTGGTGAGGGGGGCCACAGAAGGAGTAAAACGGCACATGTGTATGGTGATGGATGGTGACTAGTCTTTAGGTGGTGAACATGATGTAGTCTACACCAAAATTTAAATGTTATGATATACATCTGAAATTTATATGTTATAAACCAATATTACCTCAATAAAAAATAAAAACATGAAAAAAAAGGAAAACACTGATTTTATGTTTCCTGGATTCACACCCTGAGACCACCTTTCCCAGCACTCACTGAAGGAGACTCTCAATACACTGAGCACTCAGGATGTCACCAGGGGCTAGCAGAATCATACGTTGGTCCATCTGGAAGCACATGAGGGTTTCTTTGTCTTTTTATTCTCACTAGTTTATATAAAGTACATTCATAATTTATATAATTATTATATTATTATTAAATTATTGATTATTAATCTTGTGTAAAAGAAAACTCAAATTTTTAGCTTTTTTACCTGTAAAAATGGAAAGTAATACTTGCCTATGAATGTTTCATGACAATTCAATTGAACATTGCATTCCGAAGTGCTGTTCAGTGAATTACGAACACCAAGTATTGCCTCGGAGAGTCAACGCTTTGAGATGAAGCTAACAATCTGCAAATGTTACTCATTCACTTACAGTCTCTGTCAACTCATCGATGGTGGCAGAGAAGAGCAAATGTTAACACGGGCTATTCTGTCACCTTAGAGCAAGCAATTTTTTGGATCATGCTAGTCATCATTCTATTCACCCTGCCAGTGACTAAGGAAGGAATAAGCATATGGTGAAATCTAGTTGTTAAATTTTAAAGGGAAGTCTGCAGGGAGAGTCAGCAATTCCTGAGATAGTATTCCACACTCTTAGCAAAAAGCACACCACCATTAGAACCTCTGCCACCAATGGCAGGGTGGCTAAAATTAAGATGGACAATATAAAGTTTTGGCAAGGAGTGGAATAATTAGAACCCTCATACATTGCTTGTGGGATTGGGACTTTAACCACTTTATAAAAATGTTTTGCACTTTTTCCAGTTTTACTGAGATATAATTGACATATAATATTGTACAAATTTAAGTTGTACAACATAATAATCTGATACATGTATATATTGTGAAGTGATTGCCACAATAAGCATAGTTAATGTCCATTACCTCAGGTTTTGTAAGTGTATTTATAAACTTTTGGGGTGATAAAAGTAGTCTTTATTTTGAGTAGGATGATTTGTGTGTGTGTATATACATGTGTAAAACATCATCCAGTGGCAAGTGGGGTTTATTCCAGGAATACAAGATTGGTTTAACATCCTCAAACCAATAGATACAAAACACAATACAAATAGAATAAAGGACAAAAGAAAACGAATGCAAAAGAAAAATATTCGACAAAATCCAATATCATTCACGGTAAATTTCTCACTAACTAGCTATAAGGCCTGGGCCTTGCTTGCTCAGCAAGAGCCCACAAGCCCATCGCAAACATTTGCCCTGGTTCCCTTCTGGGCAGAACGCCCAGCTGCTGGGATTTGCAACAATCCAGGGCCTGGCCAGCCCAGATCTTACCTTATCTCACTCAAATAACATCAAGTCTTAAAGGGACACAGAACCCCTCCACGTGAGCTACTGTTCCTGGGAACGGTGGTCGTACCAGGGACTGCCCCTCTTGGCAAGCACATGGCCTTTGTGTCCCCTGCCTATATAAGCAAGCCCCTCCCCACCCGCGGTTGCTAATGCACATTTCTGTCCAGCCGGCCTCCAATGGACCTCCCTGTAACTCCCAACAAACCTATATGTCTCGTTCACCATCTCCAGGTCTTTTCTTTGGTCTCTCCGCAACCTATTCTGCACTGCTTACTCGACTGGACATACGGCAAGATGACTGGCGAGCCATCCAGGAGACTGAAGAAACCCCCATGAGCACCAAGACTATGGGGGATGGGAAGGGAAATCCGAGGGTGGAAATCCGGGATTGGCCCTGTTGGGGCTGGTTGCCATCATTCTTGATGGATATGGCCTACTGCGTGAGTACAGGGATGCCTCCAAAATGCCAAAGGGCCTGGGGGAAATCTTGGGCATGAGGAATGTAGAAAAGAAAAACTCAGAGGCCCAGGCCATGGCTACAGCCATGGAGGGGCCCCTCCTCACTGTGGGATGGCTTGCAATGAAAGCAGGGGAAGTCCCGGGCATGATAGGTGATGAGAAGTCAGAAGCCCCAGCTGTAGCTGCAATGGTGGGGTGGCCCCTTCTCACTGCAGTAAGGCTCATAACAGAAGCTGAAATGGAAGGAAGAGCCAAGGTGAGGCAGCTACAAGAGGAACTGAAGTTAGAAAGAGAGGCTCGACTGGTTCAAACTGAGACAACCAAGGTGCTGTCGACATGCCTATGGGATCTGATGAGAAAATAGGATCCCAGCCTATGGTTTTGCTAAGATCAAGGGACAACTGGTAGAAATAGGAAACAAATTCAGGCAGAAGGGGAGGAAGAGCATCCTGGGGTGGCTTTTGCATCTCTGGGATACTGGAGTAGAAGGCATTTTGCTGTCAGGGGTGGAAATGCACAAAATGGCTTCCGTAACTTCTCCTTCCATTCTGCAGCAGTACTTCTTTAGTGCCCCCTGGTGGAAAAAACTCCCTGGTGTTGCCTTGTGCCGTTATGTTGATGATGTCATGCTAACCTCTGAGTCTCTTCCACACCTCCAGGTAGCCACCCTCTCCCTTGTCACAGTGAAGGACAACAAAGTACAAGGGTCTGGGTTGTCTGTCAAATACTTGGATATTGTTTGGTCAGGTAAGACAACAGTGGTTCCTGCTACTGTTATAGATAAGATACAGGCTGTCTGTCCTCTTTATATAAGTTGGCACGAATGGGCTATCTGGGACTGGGAGACCACCAAGCAGGAGGCCTTCACCCAAGCCAAAGTAGCAGTAAAACAAGTCTAGTCCTTGGGTGGTTTAATACAAGGACAACCATGTGAATTGGACATTGGCAGTTATACACAGGGCTTCCAATGGGGTGTCTAGTGGATGCAAGACAATAAACCAGTGCCCCTTAGCTTCTGGTCCCAACTGTGGAAAGGGGCTAGACTGGTATGGCACCCTAGAACAATTGTGTGCTGCTTACCTGGCCCTTCAGCAAGTGGAGTCCATAATCCATTCCCTTCCAGTCACAGTCCATACTCATCTGCCCATTGCAAGGTGGTCATGGGATGCTTTCCAGAAGCCTCACTTGGGAACAGCCCAAACACAGACATTGGCAAAGTGGCATGTATACTTACAACAACGAGGAACCCTCACTAGTAGTCCCCTAAGTGCAGAATTGCATGCCATCCTGTGACCAGTAACATACACCACAGAAGAAACAACCCCATTAGACAAGGTGCCCATGCCTGAAACCCTGCCAAATGTATGGGAAGGACAAGGACCAAGCCTATTCTCTGGTATATGGATGGCTCTGCAAGGGTCAAACCTCCCCCCCCCACCCCGGCTCAGTGGACTGCAGTGGCAATCCAGCCTTCAACTGACAGCATGTGGTTGGACTCTGGCTTTGGGTACATTGGTCAGTGGGCCAAATTACAGGCTGCCTAGATGGTGTTGACTCATTAGGCCAATCCAATATGTCTGTACATGGCCAGTTGGGCAGTCTATAAAGGGCTAACCCTGTGGTTGGCCAATGGGCATGATAAAAGTGGACTAATAATAGTTGCCCGTTGTTGGGGGCAGAACTCTGGAATGATATTTGGCAGAGGGTTAGGGGAATGATGATAACAGTACACCATGTGTCTGCACATCAGGCGACAACACTGCCAGGAAACCAACAAGCAGACAAGTTAACTCAGATCCGTCTCCTGGAAGAAGTACCAGCCAAAAGCATGGCAGAATGGCTACACAAGAAGACTGGACATAAAGGACAAAGGACCTTATGGGCTAATGCCAAGGTCTTGGGCCTCCCCCTATGCTATGCTGATGTGGTACAGGTCTGTCAGCTGTGCCCTTCTTGTTCCTTGCAAAGCCCCTGTGACACAGGCCAAATTGCCAGAGGCAACCAGCCTTCTCAACGGTGGCAGGTGGACTAAATTGGGTCCTTGCTGCTCTCTGATGACTGCTGGTATGCCCTTACTTGTGTGGACATGTATACAGGACTACTACAGGAATACCCCAGGAAGAGGGCCACATGGAAGACCACCATCAGGGGCCTGAAACACCTCTCTGCCACATATGGTGTTCCCACAGACACCGACAATGACCAAGGTACACATTTTACTGGCCACCAGGTACAGACGTGGGCTGATCAAATGGGCATATATTGGCATTTTCACCTGCCATACAACCTCACGCCTGCAGGGCTGATGGAACGAATGAACAGCTTGCTAAAACAACAACTGAGGACAGAAGACAGGACCCTAGCCCACTGGACAAGATGCTTGACAACTGCAATACATCAACTGAATGAACATGAGAGGTGCACCTGACCCAGCGCGTATCAAATGTTGACATGAGGATGTACTGATATGACAGTACATCTACAGACAAAAGCTAATCAAAGAGAGACACTACAACCACACATGGGCACTCGGAACAACTTGTTTTTGCCTCTGCCACAAGAACTCCCTACTGGGACTCATGTGTCACTGGCCCTGGGACTGGCAGAGGAGGCCTCTTATGGTCTCTTAGCCCTTGGGGAACAGACTTAAAACAGGATATCACAGTAAAACATTTTGTCATGGGGAGGCCACCCAAAACCTCCAAACCTACTAATCCAAGGCCTCCCATTCCCCCAAGGAACTTTCATCCTTTCCCTCTGGTGCATCATTGTTCCTCACTTGTCCTATACTTCTGCAACCACGTGTGTCTTGTTGGATGGTCATGACTTCCCTGTTCTATTCCCCTCTAGCTATCTCACTTTTGTCTTTTGGACAACATCTGCCAACATTTTCGCTGCTTGGGAATACACTGTTGCTGACATACAAAACCACTCCAACTGCTGGGTATGCAGCGACCTGCCTCTCTCTTCAACCATGGGGTTACCATGGCATTTCCAACCTGCCAACCCGTCTGCCTGGAGAGCCCTGTGAGAGTGGAGAAATGCCAATCACTTTCCCATTCCTACCTCCCTCCCTTGACCCCTTATGCTGCCTCTCAAAAGTATATCTTCCAGCTTGTGTGTGAGGAGGTCAATATAACCCCAAAGGTGGCATACTATGTGTTTGATGGTGTAGGATGGTTAACTGCTATACAATTAGAATTAAGGGGTTTCTGTCCCTGGTACATTGAATATCACAATAACTCTGCACAACCAAATGAAACTATTTCAAAAAATGTGGGGTGGACACCTAAAGCAATATGTAACCACGTAATTATCATTACTGTTGAAATGTGGCTGGGAAAACAAAGCAACACCATCAGAGGAGGCTATGCCTCTCCTCGGTGTTGGTTGAGGGCTTGTGACCCTCATGACTGGCCCTATCTGCCTTATAATTGGACTGGCAGTTGCACATGGGGGTGCCCTATATCCGTGCATGCATCTATCTTCCCTTCAACAGCTTCTTTCTTATTAGGAGGCAGTCCATGTGCACTATCACGTGGACACACTGCAGGCTGGTTTTATCGCCTTGCTGTCTTCTCCTCACTGGCTGTGTCTATTGATATAGAATGACAAGTGCCTGCCTTAGCCCGTGTGGCATGTGGTCACATGGCAACATGTGGCAACAGCTCTGTTTGGATTCAGTCCCTCCCCTCAATCTAACAAAAGGTGTTCTTTGGCAACCTTGCCTTCTTATTATTGATTTTGTTCTCTTGCTGTGCTCTCTATTGCTGCTGTGGTATTTGGATACAATGCTCCTCTATGTGTCTGGCTCAAGGGACTCGGCATAAGATTGTGAGGGCCATTTGGACACATGGGGGATGGAGTGTAGGACCTGGGCCTTGCTTGCTCAGCAAGAGCCCACAAGCCCATCGCAACCATGTGTCCTCCTGGCTCCCTTCTGGGCAGGATGCCCAGATGCTGGGATTTGCAATAATCCAGGGCCTGGCCAGCCTGGATCTTACCTTATCTCACTCAAAGAACATCGCATCTTAAAGGGACACAGAGGCTCTCCAGGTGACCTACTGTTCCTGGGAACACTGGTGGTACCAGGGACAGCCCCTCCTGGCAAGAACATAGTCTTTGTGTCCCCTGCCTATATAAGCAACCCCCTCCCCACCCGAGGTTGTCAGTGCACATTTCTGTTCAGCCAGCCTCCAGTGGACCTCCTTGTAAATCCCAATAAACCTATATGTCTCGTTCGCTGTCTCTGGGTCTTTTCTTTGGTCTTTCCACAACCGGGCATGCCACATAGGAAAAGAATGAAACTTTCTCATCCTGATAAGTGGCATCTACAAAATTCCTATAAGTAGCATTGTATGTAATGGTTTAAAACTGAATGCTTCTCTAAGATCAGGAAGAAGACAAGGACGTCTGGTATCACCCTCCATTTGGGTAATGTGTTGGAAGGTCTTGGCAGTCTGATAAGGAAAATAAGGCATACAGATTGGAAAGTAAAAATTAAAGTTGTCCTTATTTGCAGATGAAATCATGCACATAAAAATCCTAAGAAATATAAAAAAAGCTCCTTTAATAAATTTAGCTAGGGATCAAATTATGTAAACTAATTTTATTTCAAAAGTGAAATTTAGTAAACAATTCCATTTATAGTAGAATAAAAAAGAATAAAATGCTTATACAGATGCTTAGTGGGGAAAAGGGCAAAATCTGTAAACTGAAAGCTACAAAACATAGTTTAGGAAATCAAAATAAGACCTAAACATGCTCTTGGATTGGAAGACTCAATATTGATACGATTGCATTTCTCCTCGAATTGATCTTTAGCTTCAATATAAGCCCTATCAAAATCCAAAAGGGTATATTTTTATTTGGTAAAAATAAAGAAATGATATTAAAATTTATAAAGACTGCAAGAATCTTTATATATTCAAAGCAATTTTTAAAAAGAAAAGCAGAGGTAGATGATTTATCCTTCTTGATGTCAAGACTTACTTAAAGCTACAGTAAAGACAGTGAGGTATTGATGCCAGAATAAACATATAGATAAATGGAACAGCATGTGGGGTCCAGAAAGAGAGCTTCATGTATATGGAAAAGAATAGTCTTTTCTGGGCTGGCCCTGTGGCTTAGTGGTTAAGTGTGTGTGCTCCACTACTGGCGGCCCGGGTTCAGATCCTGGGCACGCACCGAGGCACCGCTTCTCCAGCCATGCTGAGGCCACGTCCCACATACAGCAACTAGAAGGATGTGCAACTATGACATACAACTATCTACTGAGACTTTGGGGAGAAAAAGGGAAAAAAAAAAAGGAATAGTCTTTTCAAGAAATGGTGTGGAAACTATTGGAAATTCATATGCAAAAAAAGAAAGGAAAGAAACAAAAAGAAGGAAGGAAGAAAGGAACGAAGGAGGGAGGAAGGGATGGAGGGAGGGAAGGGTGAAAGGAGGCAGGAAAGGAAGGAAGAAGAAAAGAAAGAAACAAACACTGGCGCTTACACCATACATAAGATTCATTAAAATAGAATCAGTATATAAAGTTTGAAATAAAAGTATAAAACTTCTAGAATAAAACACGAGAAAATATTTGTGATATGATGGCAAAACATTTCTAAATTGATGACAAAAGCCTAACTCATAAGAGAAAAAAATTAACAAATCAGACTTTATCAAAATGAAAAACTTTTGCTCTTCAAAATACTCTATTAACACTTGGAACTTTACATACACGTATATATATCTGGTAAAGCAGTCATGTTCAGAATACACAAAGAATCCTTAGAACTCAATAAAAAGATAAAAACCAAATTATTTTTAAATGGGCAAAAAATGCAAATAGGCACCAAAAAAGACATATGGCCAGCAAATATGTACATGAGCAGACACTCAACACTACTAATCATTAGAAAAATGCAAATTAACATCACAATGAGTTACCATTATACACCTGTCAAAATGTGTAAAATTAAAAGGACTATACACAGAGTTGGTGAGGAGTGGAGAAAGTGGAACTCATACATAGCTGGTGGGAATAAAAAATAACTCAATCACTTTAAAAAACAGTTGACAGTTTCTTAAAAAGTTAAACATGTACTTGCGTAGAACCCAGCAATTTCACTTGTAGATATCTATGCAAGAGAAATTAAAATGTATGTTCATGCAAAGGTTTGTACATAATTGTTCATAGTAACATTTTTATAATCGCCAAGAAGTGGAAACAGCCCAAATATACATTGATGGATGAGTGAATATATAAAATGTGGTATATCCACTGTTCAGCCTTGAAAAAGAACAAACTGAACATGCTGTGACACAGATAAATCTGAAAAACATCATGCTAAGTGAAAGAAGCTAGTTGCAAAACATTGCACATTGTATACTTCCACATATATGGAATTTATGGAAAAGATAAAACTATAGAAATAGAAAACAGACCTTTGGTTTCCTGGAAGTGAGGATTGACTTGGAAATGGGCACAAAGAAACTTTTTGGATTTCTGGAGGTGTTCTAACTCTGTATTGTGGTGATGGCTGCCCGACTGTATATATTTACTAGAGCTCATCAAACTGTAACAAAATTAGTGGTTTTTAGGCTATGTAAATTGTATCTCAATAAAGCTGTTAAAATATTACCAAACTGTATACTTAAGATTTATGCTTTTGTACTTTATGTAAAAATTAATCCCAAATTTTAACAAAATGAAACAAGAAATGGATGTTTTATCTTCTAGCCTTGGGGAGTAGGATGAAGATATAATGCACAGAGCCTCTGCATCCATTTTGTGACCTTGAGGGCATGAACCAAAGGCCAAACTGACATCCTGAGGATGGCAGATTAGGAAGATGGAAAAACTGGCTCCAAGAAGTCATTGAGGCATCAACTTAAATCCAGGGTTGTCATTTCTCAGGACTACTTGTTATGCAAGATTTTATAAACTGTATATTTATAATATATACTTACATTACAAAAGATGTTTGAGAGAATCTTACAGTATGAATATACTAGTTTAATCAGCCCTTCCCCATCAATGGACACTTGTGTTACTTCTTATTTTTTGTTATTAAAATAACGTTGCAATGAGCTCTCCAGTAATTGCCTCTTTTCATTACATAAGCCATTTGTATTTTATTTTTTCTAAACTACTTTTTAATATACCCTGACAATTTTTAAAATCTTTGTATTTCCCCTTTCAAAAAAGCAAGTATTTTTTTAATGTATGGAGATATTAATTCTATTTCTATCAAATATGTTTTTTCCCACCCACTTTCTTAGATATTTTGCTAGCTATATTTGATAGATTTTCATGTAATGAGTTCTAAAATATTGATGGGATTACAGTTTCAATTATTTTTTACACTATCTGAGAGGCAGGATAGCACAATAGATAAAAATATGAATGATTTGGGAATTAGGTCACCTAGGCTTGAGTCTGACTTCTCCACATACTTTGAGCAACGTAATCTCTCAGTTCCCCGTCTATAAAACATCCGTACTTCACAAGGTCATTATTTAATAGATTAAATATGTTAATATATTTATTTAATATGTGT